CCCCCCCCCGTCACATCCAGAAAGGCTACAGTTAGCTGGATAATATTGTCACACACCTCTCAGTAAACTCCAGTGCTGAAGTGTGAAAATTCCCAGAGTTCATCTGTTCCTGAATTTCAGTAAAGATCAGACGGTGACAGTAACTGGCGTTCTCAGCTCAGCCTGTGTGCTTCACACACTGAGTCACGGCCACTTGATTCCATCTGCACAACTCAACTCATCATTTATATGTGGAGGAAGTCAAAGGAAGCATTTACTAAACATATACCATCTACACCCAATTATAAACAAAGACAACTCATATGCTTTGCACATAGCTCACAAAGAAACATGTTGTATGTAATACGAAGCAGCTATGTGCATAAAGGAGCATGAGATGTATTTATTTCACCAGTATGTACGACTCTGACTTCAGCATCAGCCACAGCCTCTGGCAAAACCTCTTCCCAAAAACACTGCATTTATGCTATGTAAGAAAAATAAAGAAACCATTTGGAAGTCTTTGGATTGAGACACTACATTTGCACATAGTGAGTAATAGTGACATAATGTTTAAAACATAGTATCATTCTAATTTATTACAAGAATCACGTCCCATTTTTTCAATATGACATGAATGCAACATGCCTGCAGCTGCTCACACACTCCATCTACTGTCTGAAAAGATTCGTGCAAGGCCTTGAGCTCCGATGCCATCGTTCATTGGTTTCTTTTTTCTGTCTTCACCTCAGCAAAGAAAAGGAGGCCCCACCCGATTGACTCTGCCCTCAAAGTCCACGGTGAGAGTACAGTGATGCCTTCACTGCTAAACACAAAAAGAGTTTGTCAGATCACTTCACTGCTCTTTCTTTTTCTGTATTGAATGTCTTTTCCTCACATGCTGTAGGATGCAGACCTGGCCCGCCTGTTGAGTTCAGGTTCCTTTGGGAATTTGGAGAACCTGAGCCTGGCCTTCACCAACGTCACCAGTGCCTGTGCCGAGCAGCTCATCAAGCTGCCTTCACTCAAACAGCTCAACCTCTGGTCCACTCAGGTGTGCACATGTAGCCGGTCTCATCTCTACGCGGCCATCAAGTTAAATCTCTGCGTTGTGTCTTTAGTGATGAATCGTAGGAAGGGGTTTGCCATCCATAGGAGAGTTTATTCTCTGTGTGAAACACAATTGAACCAGTACATCAACTTATTAGGTCTCCATATTGCACATCCTACGGACTCCATGTGAGACTGTAGGATATGGTTCTTCTTACCATTGCTAACTCTGAGAGACGAGACAGTCCAAGTAACTTCAAAACAGTGCTGATTTATTCAAAGGATCACAGGTAAAAATTAACATTACACGCTCAGGTATCTTGCACCTCCAAACTGCTCGCAGGCAGATGTAAGATGAAAGACCCTGAACCCACCAGGCCTATACATTATATCCC